CGACTGAAGCTACTGTTTTTCTCTCTGGTTTTTAAGCACTTAATCCATAAAGAACACACATACAGAATGCAGAATACCGACTACACAGCAGCAGCATTTTGGGTGGCTCTCTGCTTACGGACTTGTTCGCAATCTGTTCCACCTTTTGGAACTCTTGTTCTACTCTCCTCTGAATCAGGCAGGGTTGCCTTTCAACAGCTATGTTTGGAGCATTCAAAATCAATATACGATTTGAGAATTTCGCATCGAGTCATGCACAGGCAATGCCTGTGGTACTGGGGTTTATTTTTTCCGATTCTTGGGCATTCTCTTTTGCAGCATTCGCTTGTGCAGCACTGCCAGATTCTAGGGTATTTCAGCCCTCGGCTTGCAGATTTCCGTTTCATTTTTTTTTTGTAAGCTGGGATAACCCTTCCATCCCGTTGCCAGAGTTCTCTTCGCGTTTTTTTTTTTGGAACTGGTCTCGGGTCCTTTTTTTTTTGCTGTTTCTGTTTTTTGGGCGACTGTGCAGTCTGAAAGTTTTTCCTGTTGTCTGACGGGATTTCGATTTTTTTGGAGAGGTTGGTAGTGAAGGGGTGGGGGTGGGGGAAACAGGCAGCATTTTTATTAATGAAACACTATGTCAACACTTGGAGAAAACAAAAAGGGAGGGAAAGCCAGGCAGAGACAGACACAAAGAGGGGGGCAGAGAGAGAAGAGAGAGAGAAAGAGAGAGAGATGTATACGATGTATAAATATTATGTAAACACGCAAACAATGAAGTGATTTGTTGCTACTTAAATTTAGCCCCCGAGAGCGAAAGAGAAACGAAACAAAGCGTTGGGGATCTAAGGTCTATGGATTGGGGCATGCCACCAGCACTGCCTGGCTGCCTGACTGCCTGACTGCCTGCCTGCCTGAGATGCTGCCCACACACACACACACACACACACACACATATATATATAGATATATATGTATATGTTATATAGAATGTGGAATTAGTTGCCAAAGAAAAGAAGGAAAAGCAACAGAGAGCAAAAAAAAAAAAATAAAACAGAAAAAAATGAGAAAAAATTGAAAGGAAATATTTGTGTGTGTGTGTGTGTGTTGTTTATGTGTGTTTGCCGGACCAGGCGCAGTCGCTGTGAAAGTAGCAAAACATCGCCCCAGGGTCCTTTCCCCCTGCTGCAACCAGGGGGAGCGGGAGAGAGAACGATGCCCCTGTTTCTAGCTTGTTTACCAACACTTAGAGAGCACCACCCACAACGCCTGTGGTGGGTGGTGGGTCGGTGGGCGGTGGGCGGTGGGTAGGGGGGCAATGTGTGCCCGATGCGATAAGCAAGCCACAAGATGAGCTCCACACCACAGAAGCAAGACCCCCACACAGCCACATCCACATCCACAGTGGCAAAAACAGAAACCGAACTACTCCGCCCCCCACACTCGCCCCTGGCCATGCATAGTACCTGTAATGCGGCCTAGATGGCGCTGCAAATGCTATATGTACATATATGTATGCACTTCCAAGAAAAGTCCAAGGCAGGAGCGGAAGACTGCAGCCTAGTCCTCGAACTGTAAGGGGGATTTCGTCTTGACTTTACTTTTAATATTAATATTTATATATATATTATTTATTTAATATTTATATTTATATTATTTATTTAATGTTAATATTATTTATTTAATATTAATATTTATTATATTTATTTAATATTAATATTTGTATTATTTATTTAATATTTATATTTATGTTATTTATTTAATATTAATATTTGTATTATTTATTTAATATTTATATAAATATTATTTATTTAATATTAATATTTATATTATTTTTTTAATATTAATATTTATATTATTTATATTTTATATTCTACTCAAGAAATAATACTAGTAGTTTTTAATGAGAAATCCCAAGGAGGGGTTTTGTATTTTTAAAGGCAGAGCATTTCCGACACGCATTTTTTGTTTTTGCTTGTAGATCTTCCCCCAAGCAGCCTCATCACTCGCACACACACACAGATATACAATATGGGAGGGAGGATATATGTACATATATATACTCGTAGAGGAAAAGCGTTTTTACTGCACTTAATTCACTTTAGATGTGGCCCGTTTCCCCTCCCTCCACCTTCCAGTCTCTGCCTCTGAGCTCTCTCTATTTTTTGCCCCCCTTTTAATGCAATTTGAACAAATTAAAAAGTAGTGCGTGGCGCGGCAGGTGCAGCCGAGTGAGAGACATCACTTGGTGGCTGCTTCTTCTTGCTCCTCCACTCTGCCATCTTGCATCTTCCATAAGAATTTGCAACGCAACGCAACGCAATGCTAGTGCCTGCCAGTGCCAGCTTTGTGATAGCTTTAATTAAAGGCAATCGAGTTTGTTTTTAAATTTGCAGGCTGCAGAGGCATCTGCGACTGACCTTGATTTGATGGCCAATTAAGTGGCCTCTCACTTGCCGTGGGCTTTCACTCTCACTCTCCCTCTCCCATTCCCGCCACAAGTGGGCGTGGGCACTTCGCTTCACTGTTGTCCTTGAACCTTAACACGGACTGACGTTCTTGCTCCCCCACACTGATGCTCGACTCGGGACGCACAAGTGAATGCTGCCAAAGAGAATGCCCGTGCGTTGCATCTTCCACCTGTTTGTCTGCTGCATCTTCAGCTCTCGATTGACTGACGGGCAAATACATATGTACATGCAACATTCACTGTTGCAATTTGCTAGCAAATCTACTCTAGGACATGCTGCCTCCTTCGCTTCATATTGCCGTTTTCCTTTTCCATTTTGGTTAATCGTGAACTTGAAAAAAGAAATGGTAATTGGCAAAGTGATTGCACAAATTGGTCTGCACATTGTCTCTGGCTGTCTCCTGCCGTAAGTGACCTTAATCCCTGACCTCCTTGTCGGACAGACAGACAGCCAGCCAGAGAGCCAGCCAGCCAGCCAGCCAGCCAGCCAGCCAGCCAGCCAGCCAGCCAGAGATCCAGCCATCTCATTGTTAAATCATTTCAATTATGGATAAACTAAAAAGTAGCTTCTACTTGTAACAGAGTGGAAGGATACCATCATCCTCATCATCATCATCCTCATCATCCTCACCAACAACAGCAACAAAGCGCCTTATCCTTACGGGTTTTAGGTCCGTTCTCTTGTCAAACAGAGAGGAGGAGGAGGCAGGAGCCATTCCATGCCCCCCTGCGATGGTCCTTTGTCCTCTTGCAGGGTTGTGTGTCTCTCCGTATCTCCGTATCTGTGTATACTGTGGGTGCAATAATTGTGCATTGATTATCATAATATTCTCGCATCGCCATCAAAATTGCGCATAAAATCAGACCAGACTCCCTCGAACGTCAGTGTTGGCTGTGGCTAAATCTCAACAGTTTATCAGTCAGTCCGTCAGTCCGTCAGTCAGGCAGTCAGTCAGAGACAGATACGGATGCATAATACAGCCACAGCTAGAGACTGGGGAGACTCGTTACAGTGGCTTCAAAGTTATTTGTTGCCTGCCACGTGCGCCTGTCAGTTGCACTGCCACTCAGCCACTCAGCCACTCTGCTCGTGTGTCGTGTGTCGTGTGTGTGCTTCCGGTTCCGTTCTCATCTCCGTCTGTCATATCTGCAGCAGAGGATTATGCTGATGCCCAGACAAAACAAAACCAAACGAAACGAAACGTAACGCAACGAAACGAAATAAAACAAACAAATTGAACCAATTAAAAATCGTAAATAAATCGTAAATAAATCGAAATAAATAATCGCGCAAAGTGCAAGCGAAAGATGAAAGAGATCTGACGGGCAGCAGCGGAGAGCTCTCTCCCATATTCATCTTGAAGCAACGCCATGATTGCCACGCTCTTCATCATCTTTGCATTTATACGCGCCTTCCCCTGGAGCCGTCGTCGCGGGGGCCACAGACAGCCCCTGGCTCTGACCCTGACCCCAGCCGAAGGATTGGAGCAGCAGCAGGAGCAGCAACAGGAGCAGCAGCAGGAGCAGGAGCAGCAGCATAACCTGGATAATAACAATCGACCACGTCCCTCCATCTCCATGGGAACTGGCACAGGAGAGGCTTTGCCCCGGGCTAGACGCAAATCCTCCAAATTCCATGAAGTCACCTTCAGCGGCAGCGTCGGTGGAGGCGAAAGCGACGGCGATGGGGAAGCTGCCCCGGCCACGGCAACGGCCACGGCCACGGCCATTGCATCAGCTGGAAATGGAAGCCATGCTGAACCCATACCGGGAAGCAATAAGCGGCACTCCCTCAGCACCACCAGCAACTCCAGCTCCGCGCCGTACCGCCACCTGAGCACCACCGGCACCGGCACCGGTACGAGCAGTCGGTCGCGCGGATCGAGGGACTACCACGAGTACTACCAGCTGCAGCAGCAGCAGCAGCAGCAGTCGTCGTCTCTCTCCAATGGCGGACGGCGGGCGGGTCTCAGTCAGCGCAGCGATACCATGGCCACGGAGGCCGAGGCCGAGGAGTTCGAGGAGGATGAGGAACGGCCGCGACTGGACGATGACGAGGACGAGACGTACGACCGGGAGACCGAGGAGTTCTACAGCAACATACAGGATGCCACCGGACCGGGTGGCAGCTGCAACCGCAGCAAGCGCTCTTCCCTGTTCTCCCGCTCGGACAGTTCGGCCACCACCACCTCGTCGAGTGGCGGTGGCACCTTTACCGGTGCTGGGCCAGGGGCTGGGGGCAAGCGACGCTCGGCTGCCTCCATTATGTCCTCGTCCCTCTGCTCTGATGTGATGAGCAGCGATAGGCGCAGCTCCACCACCACGGAGTACAGCATTCGGTCGGTGAATGCCGCTGGCGGAGGCGGAGGCGGAGGTGGAGGCGCAGGTGGAGCTGCAGCACCCAGCGGCACACAGCAGCGACGCTCGAGCGGCCGCATACGACGCTACGTGTCACGGATGACCATCGCGGGAGCCAGGCGACGTACCACCGGCAGGTAATACAAAGAATTAACGGGGCGAAACTTTATTTAAAAACAATTTATTAACAGCAAAAAAAAATATAGAAAATAAAAGAAAATAAAATAAAATGCTGTAAAAAGCTGCAATCAGGAGCCATTGTCCTGCTGCCATTGCTCGTGCTTGGCCAGCAGCTTCTGGCTGAGGGGTCGCACCTGCCGGAAGGCCTTCTCGAGGTTGGCCTCCAGCGTGGCCTGCGACTCCTTGGCGGGCGACTCCTTTGGCTGTGGCATGCCGCGCGTGGCGCAGCGTACACGCTGCATGCTGATCTCCTTGCAGGCCAAACGGATCTCGTCGCCGGTGAACTGATCGGAGATCGCAACGAGCTGCTCGAGCAGGCGGCCGCTCAGACTGACGCTGGCGCCGAGCAGGCGGCTGATGAGGGCGCTGCGCTCCGCCTGGCTGGGCAGCTGGACGAGCAGCTTCTTCTCGAAGCGACGCAGAAAGGCCTCGTCAATGTCCCAGGGCAGATTGGTGCTGGCCAGCACAAAGACGCCCTTGAGGGTGTGCTCCATGCCGTCGAGCAGCTGCAGCAGTTCGTTCTTGAAGCGCTTCGAGGACTCGTGATCGGTGGCCCGGTCCCGCTTCGACGTCAAACTCTCGATCTCATCGAAGAATATCACCGACGGGGCACGCCGTGCGGCCATGTGGAACAGTACGCGCAGTATTTTCTCCGATTCGCCGCGCCACTTGCTCACCATAATGCTGGCCGTGATATTGAAGAAGGTCACCTGGCCCTGGGTCTCCGCATAGAGGGCCTTGGCCAGGTAGGTCTTGCCGCTGCCTGGCGGCCCGTGCAACAGCAGCGAGCGCCACGGCTTCAGGCCGTGGGCAAACAGCTGCGGATACTCGATGGGCGTGATGACGGCCTCCTTGATCAGCTCAATGGCCCGCTGATTGCCGCACACATCGGACCAACGCAACGGTGTGTCCTCCCGCAGTATCGTGGTCTTCACCAGCTCGGCCAGCAGCTGCCAGTCGAGGGACGAGAACAGGGCATCGTCGCCCCCCGAGTGTCCGTGCTCGATGTCGCTAATGCGTAGCTGCAGCTCCGTGCTGCTGCTGCTGCTGCTGCCGCACTCGGCTGTGGCCATTTTCTTGATGTGCAACTGTGGTGGATTGCCATTTCCATTACCATTACCAATACCATTCTCGTTCCGTTGCTGTTGTTGCTGCTGCTGCTGGTGCGGTGCATCGTTATTCAAACTGGCAGCAGCCGCAGCTGTGGCAGCGCCCACACCGACATGCCAATTGCCCATCGTGGCCTCCTGTTGTGGCGGCTTCAGCACTCCCTGTGGCTGGGCCTTGCCACCTGCTGCTGCTGCTGCTGCTGCTCCTGCCCCTGGCTGGCTCTTCGATAGTTCCACCTTCAGTTTGGGTCCCATCTTCTTGAGGATGCGCGGATACTTGCCGAACTTCATGTTGAAGAAGCTCGCATACTCCAGATACATGGCATCCAGATCGATGTTGTCGCACAGCTCGTACTCGTCCGACAGCCTGCCCTCCCCCTTGAGGGCCTCCGCGCTGCTGTAGTAGCCGTTCTCCATCAGATACCGATGCATCAGATAGAGAATGTTGCGTCGCCGAGTGCTGAAATTGCGCACATCCTCGCACAGGGACGTATTGGCAGCTGTTGCCGTTACCCCGTACTTGCCGTGGGCCTTCATTTCCAGTTTCCAGCCAGCCCCAAAACAGATTCTCCAGCGAAGAGAAGAAGAGGAGATACAGAGTGAGAGAGAGAGCGAGAGAGAGAGCTGTGCGGTGCGGTGAGAATTTCTGAACTACACTGAGATGATGGGAAATTCTCAGCCAGCATTGACTTTCCATTTCTCCCTGCCGATGATTGTTTTCGCATTTCAAACAGAGTTGCCATAACAAGGACTAGGGTTGCCAGGGTTCCCAGGGGGGCCTCTGCACTCCCAACCACTCTTCAGCCACTCAAACAACAGTCCTCCTTCGCTCGGGGCAACCGCAACAAAAAAAAAAAAAAAAGTAACCAAAAAGGGGGAGAGAGAGCCTGCAAATGTGGCCAATTTTGGGTGAATAAAGGTACTCTCAGTCCCCCCCATCCGTGTGTGTGTTTGTGTGTGGCATGCCCCTGATCTATGTGTGTGCGTCAAATTGGTGCGCTAATTAAAAATGCGAAACGAGCATGACGAGCGGCAGCAGCAGCAGCAGCAGCCCAGTCAACCGAAATATGGTAATACTCTTCGGGAATTGAAGAATTGCTTGCCATTTGGATGGAATTCGGAGCTGAGACTGAGAAATTAAATTTCAAATTAAATTATATATCCTGCCTAGTCTTTTATATTCACCCATCAAAGCCAACATTTAATTGCAACTTTAGTCGAACTTAAGTGCAAAACCAATCAAGTTCCAAGTGCCGGGGTATCCCCGTACTCAATTTGAACACCCCTCAATTGGTTAGTGTACTTAATTGTTCGTTATACCCCCCCCGCCCACCGACCGACTGCGTTGCACGTTGAATGTTGCCAAGAGCCTTCGCTACATGCTCAATTTGGCGAGATGACGGCGACAGCTGCTTCGATGGTTAATCAAATGCACGACGACAACGACGACGACGCAGACGACGCAGACGACGCAATGAAATGAAAATCAGCGTGGATCCCGTACACACACACTCACACACACACAGCCCCTTGCCACGCCCCCATCTTCAGCCATCACTCTGTCAAATTATGCAACATGCACACAGGCAGTGGCAGTGGCAGGGGCAGGGGCAGAGGCAGACTCTGCCTCACATCTCTCTACCAGCAGGCCATCCATCCACCATCCATTTCACCTTGCCTTAAAAAACATTAAAGGTACTCGGATACACCATTCGCTTTCTACCGACGGGTACGGGTACGGGTACTTCTCCTGCCCTACGGGGGCAGGGCAAGACATTTTCAGAGATATTTTCATTACACCCAAAGAAACAAACAAAAAATTTAAAGTGATTTTTACTTTTATTTGGAAATTAATGTGACAATATTTTAATTAAATATATTTCACAGCTAAAATGAATATTTCTCATAATTAAATAGATTATTGTTCATATTTAAATTAAGTATTAAATATTTTGCATATTAAATTTAAATATTTAAAAACAAATTTGAACTTAATTTAATTTCACTTTCACCTAAAATTAATGCAAGCACCTACATACATATATCACATATCGAAATGGAATATTTTTCCTATTGCCATAAATAGATATTATTTTTCATGCTTAAATTTGATATGGAATATATTTCAAAAATAAATGAAATATGTATTTTTCTCTGAGTGCACTTCAAGATTAAATAAATATCGATGTAATTGGGGGTGGATTCTGGTCGGTGGAAAACGCATCGTGTGATAGTTCAGGGCAGGGCCGTAACAGGCTGTAGGCCATTCTGGCGCGGTATGCGGGCTAAAGGGAATGGGGCTGGGGCTGGGGCTAGAGGGTGGCTGCTCCCATTTCGTTTCGCCTCGCAATTTTAATTTGGTTTCTTTTTTTACCCCACAGTCTGTAGGTTCCCCCCTCCTCTGGTCACACACCAAACCATCATCTTGTGACGCTGCTGCTGCTGCTGCTGGCTCTCCATGCCCCGCATCCATGCAGCATCGCCATCCATCCTCCGTGGCAGTCAGTCTCCGGCTTTTGTTAATGGCCTTGTGACAGTTTTTGCTCTGCTTCTGTCTGTTCCCCCTGCCTGTTCTTCGTCTTCGTCGTCTTCTTCTCACACTCAGAGTTGCAATCGGTTGTTGCTCTGTCCCCTCTATCTGCCTCTTTCTTTGGGCATTTCTACTTACTTTGGTTTCGACTTGCTTTCGCTTTGCTTTTGGTTTGGTTTGAGTTCGTTTCGGTCTTTGAATTTTTGGTAATTTGTTTTGGCTCTTTTCCACGCAAGGTCTCGGAACTAACGAGACATCCTGCAGTAGCAACAGAGAGAGAGAGAAAAAGAGAAAGCCACTTACCAGCAAAAAAAAAAAAAAAATGGTGAATATATTGTGAATGACAGTATTAATGGAGGAGTATGTCAGAGGATGGATTCGTGAAAGATTCAGCTGGTGTCTTATTAATGATAGCAGCCGTAAGTCGAAGATATTTCAGTAATAAGCAAACGTATACTTAATATGAGACGCGTGGATCGTGAGAGCGAGTGCGAGCGCCGCTCTCAGAGAGTGCTAACAGTGAGCTGTAGCTGTAACAGTGAGCTGTAGACTGTTAAGTCTGTATGCTCTGTTAACAGAGATTACAAGAGAGCAGAGATCTGCAGGCATAGCTAACAGTGAGCTGTTAAGAGTGTAAGCTCTATTAACAGAGTTTACAAGAGAGCAGAGATCTGCAGACATAGCTAACAGTGAGCTGTAGACTGTTAAGTCTGTAAGGTCTATTACAATTGGAACAGACTGAGAAGTAGCTGTAGACTGGTTAGGCTTTCTGTAACAGAGTACAGGGAGACTGCAGGCAGTAACAGTGAGCTGTAGACTGGTTAGGTCTGTAAGCTCTGTTAACAGAGATTACAAGAGAGCAGAGATCTGAGTGGCGTGTGAATGTATAAGTGTTGAAGTTGTCGACGAAGAACTTCTTGGAACAGGCGTAGCAAAACACTTTTCAGCCACACAATCCCCCCCATGTTGTGGGAATATGATTGCGTGTGTAAATATGTGTACATATGCATGTATGTACTATATGTAGATGTAAGTGTAAGTGTGAATGTGTGTTTTAGTCGCGACTTTAACAAACTAATTAAGCTGGCGTCGGGCGTTGAGCTTAGCGCACTTTCTCTCTCTGTCTCTCTCTTTCCCTCTCTCTCTATGAAAAGTTGAGGAGAAACCTTTTGTCTATGGGAAATAACAATGAAAATACATACACACACACGCACACATACAAACAAAAACACACTCATACAATCAGCATGCGTCGTTCATTTATTTGCACATATAATTAGGCGCATGGAAGAGCTGCCGTCGGGCACACTTCCGTTTCTCCTTGCCACCACACATGCCCCATGGTGTGGTATGGTGTGGTGTGGCATGGGCTCGTTCCATCACTCCCGTATCCCCCCCCCAAAACAATGAAAAATCTTCTTCTTCCCATAGCCTGCTGCTCCTCCTTCGACTTTCGCCCAAATCCGGCACTGAAACGGCGGGGCAGGAGAGACTGTTGTGGCATGTGTCGGCTACTGGCTTAAGGCGGTAACCCGGCACGTCACAGCTTAAATGTGAGAAGTACACTCATCCGCAGTGCTCTCTTGTCGCTCTCTCTCCTCGCTCTCTCTGTCTCCTTGGCACACTCTTCCGCCTTCTTCTGCCTGCTGTAATTGTGTTTTGGTTCGCCTGCAAGTACACATACATGAATGCAACAAGAACAAAAAGGGAAAGGCTATGTGCTCGGACTTGAAACTAAGAGGATACCTCTCAATGCGAAGTTTTTACTCATTACGAAATTTAGAAGAAGAAAAAGTAATAGCAAAATTATAATATTTATTTTATTTAATATTTATATTTTAAATTTAATATTTAATTTAATATCAATCTTCTTGTGGAATAAGTATTAAACGAAAATAAGCTGTGGATATTTTTCATTTAAAAAATTATTTAAAAATATATCGAATATCAAATACTGACTTCTCATAGCCTTGCAAAGACTTTTTTCTGTGAGAAATATTATCTTGGACGTAACCCCAGGGCCTCATTCTCGCTACTCTCACTCAGCATTGCGCTGTTTTGTTTCTTGCTGAGCGAGTCTCAGTCAGGACACGAACACAGGCAACAGAATGGGAAAGAGTAACGGACAACCAAAAGTAGAAGATAGCGAGAACACTTCGAACCAGCTCGTAGTCAGTACATGCACCGAGTCAACTGGTGAACCCAATTTTACTATGAGGGTTAACCGATCTCTTTGAAAGGCAATGGGAAGGAATATACCCGTCTTTGGGCACTGTACGATTAGTGGGGTATAATAAGTCGCCTTGCCTTGATGGGGGGAACAGTAGAGTGTATGTAGTATGTATCTGTAAGATACTCGTACTCGTGGGTTCTACAAGTAGCGAGTAGAAGATGTGTGCTTGTAAAGTGGTGAGGTGATAGCTCAAAGTTGAGTGGCATTTGCCACACCTACTGCACTCGTCTGCACTCTCCTGTTGAACCACAATCCTCCAAAAGCCCAAGCAGAAGTACTCTCTCTTCCCCAATGATAGAATATGTAGACGGGTGGGGTGGGGAGGGCTGGAGGCTGGCTGGGTTTTGGCTGCTTAAAATTCAATTGAATTCCGTGTTGCTTTCATGTTGCTTTAAGTGCCTTGCCACACAGCCAGCCAAAACACTTGCTGCAAAAGCACTTTGCTGCAACTTCGCGAATTGTGTGTGTGTGTGTGTGTGTGTTGCACCGGACAGGCGATTCATGTTGCAAGTGGCAACTTGCTCTTGGTCTTGTTCGCTGTCCTGTCCTGTCTCTCACAATTTCTCGCTCGCAGGATTATTGTCTTGCTGGCTTTTGTTCCTGTCTTCCTTTTGGCCCCTTTTTCTTTTTACTTTTTTCTTGTTTTGTTTTTGCGCTTCTCGCTTTTTTCTTTCGCTTTGTCTTTTTGTTTCGCTGCTGCTGACAGGATGCCGAGGACACTTTATGAGTGTTTGAGTGTTTCTACATTGTTGTTGTTGCTGTTGTTGCTGTTGTTGTTGTCGTGAGTGCGTTAACACAACGGACGGGTGGACAGTTGGACAGTTGGACGGTGGTCCTCAGGATGGTGTCTGTCAGGATAATCAGCGGCGCCAAGTATTTGCCGGACTTTGCAAATGAATAAAAGAAC